AGTCTTACTTAATTAATTGGATGATCCAAATAATTTTTGGGGTACTTTATTAGGTTTAAATGTTTTAGCTACTCCATTTATAGGTTAAAGTGAACGAACCAAGGCCTTGAAGGCAAGAAAACGTTTACTATTCAGTGATCAATTTGCTTATAAACATTTAGCATATTTGAGGATAAATTATGTATAAAACCCATATGATATTTAGTGTTTACATCTTAGAGACATTAATCGCTCACACTAGAAGATATTGATTACTTTACAAATCAGATTTGTCGCAATACTTCCCCATTTGCAATACCAACAATTAGTTATTCAGACCATCTCGAAAATTAACTTTTATTAGAAAAATTAATGGTACCTTTTGTTGTAATAGGATCTTATGATTAACGATTGACTTCAATACATTTAACTGAATTGTTTAACATTTGAAGATATAGCTCTCAGTTCCAGTGATCTATTTACTAACACGAAACTGATTAAATTTAGCTCCGTTGTTAAAATTTATATATTTCTGCTTACACGTCTCAGATGTTGGTGGTATGAAATGGGCCCTTTAGTCAAGACCAGTTTGAATCGAACTGAGCAGTAACTATGGCTTAAGATACTGGCATGTCCAAACGGGCTTCCTAAAAACGGACCATTTGATTAAATCTCTTTCACTTTCACTTATAAGTATGTCTAAGATAAGTAACTGGTTTCTCTTATCTTTTCTCCCAAATACATATGAATATATATATTCTCTCTTGAACGAACTTGGCGGCCTGCTTGAATATCTGGGCTACCTGTTCCTCCGATCTAGATATTTCATCAAGTTATTTGTTTTGTTGTTTGTTTTAGCACATCATTATGTCTACTGTGCGCACAATTTATTCAGGTGCGTTTATGAAAAGTTTACAACCTTTCGCTATACGTGATACAAAAAGGTACAATCAGCGACATCATGGTGAATGGCAATATGCATTGAAACGAATGAACATTAATCAAATGTGGATTACCGAACTCCTAACATCTAACCGGTCATCATTCAAAATTTATCGTCACAATAGATCAAGGTATAAGAAAAGGAAACATGTTGAAATACTTTATGCTGAGAATTCTATGTTGTACCAAAAATATAATGTTGAATAAAGCTTCTAATAAAAATAATAATAATATATACCAGCTAAACTACAACTTCTCCACATCTTCACACCAGATGACTCATAAACACGACTACAAACCCCACTTTTAGCAATTTTAACATGATTTCATTATCTGTTTAGCCAATAGTCAACCTATGAACCATCTATTTATGTTTGATAACTTTAATGTTTGATTATATTCCTTGAAAAAACGTGAACCAAATTGTCGAGAAAAACATTGGATTTATTTTAAATCAAGCTGATGAGATTTTTGCAAACGTGATTTTTCATCTTAATATCTCACATCAAATCAGGCCCCAACTACTGTGACACTATCTTTTTTTAAATTGAAATGTAGGCTTTCATACAATACACTGTATAATATAGAGAAATAAATAGTGGATAAATGCATACATATATGAGAATGTAAATAGGTGATTAAATTTCTGAATTATGGTTAAGTGAATTACGGAATTATAGTGATTTATTTATTTAACGCTATCTATTCGTAGCAAGGCAGATTATTTTCATACTTAGTTGAAAGGGGCTTGTTATAATTAAATTATTTTACTAAGATGTATAGTTCAATTGTACACTCAAAAGTGCTTTGACTTTAAATATGTAGTTAAAAGTGAACTAAAACGGTATGTTTATCACTCATAATGTTTTCCAGTAGTTCAGAGTTAACAATTAAAATAAATTAAATATTAAGTTTGAAAGGCATGAAAAGATAAGGTCAGATTCTCCGCACATGTGTTAAGTGTTATCAACCTATTTTCGGAGTTCTTATCTTTCCGCTATAGAGTGAATGCTGGCTGTGTTAACTCTAATTTTCGCAATTTATATGCCTGTTCCTCATGCTTCATCACAGATACTCGCAATGTATCTTAATAGTTTGGTTTTTTTCTTGAGAATACTAAATCGACCTTAATAGCGTTTCTCAAATCGATCGAATATCATATCAATAATTAAACACTGTTAATCAAGTTTACTTGTGAGTATCGTTAGACCTTTAGTTGAATAACAACGCCTAATCTCCCAACAACTTATAAAAACGACTTGCCATTAGGATGAATGTCGACGCCTGCTGTCCATTTACTGAATACACACTGATATGAAGTTAAGGTAAATTGTTGTTACATGATCGATAACTTTCCAGCAAAGGAATTCAAAGAATTTCATACTCACACCTTCCGAATTTATGGGTACTTTCATTCGAACTCCAATCATCACACTATCAATCTGCATGTTTACTTATTATACTTGGTTATGTAATCTATTTCACTGTAACCGTCGTCTCATAAAATATTATTGATTGATCAATGATGGGCGGGCAATGTCATGTTTGTCAAGTTTCTCGCAGGGCTTATTGAATTCGATCGATCACTTAGCAATGTGGCCACTAGTCTTAGTGACTTTACATCTTGCGCGCTGTGTTTGAATGTAAAGTGAGGGTTAGAGTCAGTCGATAAAAAACTCTGAACTCATAAAGCGCTTTGATAGGTTCAGTATTGTCATATATGCATATAAATATTAATGTATATTAAAGCCTGCTACCTGTAGACAATATTGTTCGTTTAAACAGCAATATGAATAATCTTGAGAAGTAAAAGAAAAATAATTTGACCAGAATAACATGAATTCATTTTGTTTTGTTTAGTCCTATTTACAGCCTGTGATATTTAAAAATCTTAATGACTATGAATAGTGATGGTTCTGACCATATTGCTATGGTTATACTGATGTTAATGCTTACACTGAAACCCTCATTAATAGTCTTACTGAGAATATTAATAAGAATATAAAAAAATACAGTTGTTCTACAACTAATAATGATCATAAATATTTGTAATACCAGTAGGTCTGTCACTCACTAATGGTTTTGAACTTTACATAAATGCAAATCATTTTCTTACCAAAAAAAAGTGAAACAAATTGATGTAAATTCGTTAGTGACACATTTTTATTTGAAACATTAATGTGTTTTGACTAATATAGTTGAAGAGAAGCTTACACCTAGGAATCATCAGATGATCCTTATAAGGATTGTAAAATTACGTAGTCTCTTTCAAAAGACAAAAGTATTTTGCAAACTCAAAGTATTCTGAAAAAGTTGTTTAACAAACTGTCCACATCGATGATGTGAAACGCATGTTGAAATAGATTTTGTCTACTAATTTCTCAAAAGAATTTCAGTCTGATTTATTCCAACCGTTAAACATTACAGATAAATTCACCTAAGTCTTACATATTATCATAACTTTACTGAAATGAAAGGTAATTTGGAAATGGTTATAATGATACACTAATCACTGCAAGACTATAAGAACCTCTACATTTCGCCTGTCTGCAAGTTGGAGTTTTACCGTCTTGAAATCCACTTTGGTTCGTCACATATATCAAGTTTCAAAATAAATTAAACATACAAAAAATATTCGATATAATAGAAGCAAAGATGATCCTATAGAGTGTAGTTACTCCCTTGACATCTTGGTCCAGTTTATGTGATGACAACCTGTCAACATATATAAGCAGAAATCGTTGTTCATTGAAGATTTCCCGTCACAGAAAGATCATTTAAAGAGAGAAAAGCTAAATCTGAATTAAAAAAGTCTTAACTTCGATGGTAAAGTTGTAGTGTTAGCAACACGAGGATATAGGGATGCTAGCTAGTCACGACTAGATCGTGATTTAATAGCAGAGCACTGAAAAAATAAAACAAATTTTAGTTTCCACTTGATTTCTGGTGACAGCATTTAGGCTCAAAATGTATGAAGCAAATGTAAAAAAAGTCGTCATTCACATTCAATTTACAAACTACCTAGATATATTAAGCTAAAGTGGATCATTTGAAGTACTGGGGGTATACAGTCGATTTGAATATATTGAGAGATTATAATTATATTTTTAATTGCCCAGTCTGTCGCCTTAGAAAAACTATATATTAAATAGAACTAGACGGATTAACATTCAACAACAAGTCATCTCTGCAATAGCAAGGAAAATGATGCTATCAATATGTGTCTAAATTTAATTATTAGCTAAAAGAGAATAATAAAATTTGTGAAGTGTCTGATTTCTGTATTTATTCACCACGAACTTATGTAACACTTATTAAGATATTATTTCAGCTTAAATCTCTATTTTTGAAAGCAGTGCGACGATATCTGCCTAGTTAAACTAATTAAAAAGGATCAATCATAAAACATCTTTTATGACGCAAAATGCTTGGGATTAGAACATTGGAACATCAAATCAGTTTATAAAAATCTATGGTAATGATTTCCACTCATTACATGCATAGTTTCTATCCATTTTTCTTTTCTAATCTGTTTATCTCTATTCAATAAATTAGTCCATTTTTTACCTCTTTGCATTACATAATTCAAAATTCAGTTACTCTATGAACCGAGGGTATTATATTCAATTGGTTGACCGTTTTGGGATGAATCTTAAAACTTCAATATCAATACCAGAAGCAAAAAAAAGAAAAAAAAATGTTTGTAACTAACCAAAACTGGATGATCTATTGTAATATGAAAATTTTTATTATAAAAAATATAAATATACATCAGTTTCATCTTTTTTTGTTACTATCTTAATAATTAAAAAATAATTTATTTATACATAATCTGTAAAAATGAATCAATGGAGATAGATACATAAAATAAAGGACAAATGAACATTTTCATTACCTATGACTATAAGCCAAATAAACTATCATTAAGATCATAATGAATGAGAGGGGGGGATTTGTACCTGTTTAATTAAGTTTTCAATGAATAAAATGCATATTTCCTTAAATCGTTGTAAACTTTTATCCCAATATTTTTCTTCTTTTAATTAAATGATGTAATAATAATGAATAGTTATGATATGGTTTTATCTTGTATGTACAATTCTTGCACCAAATTCTTCATATTCTTTCTTTTGTATATATATTTCTTTAAATGAACTCAATGAGGCTAAAATGGAACCACCAATCCATACAGCATATTTTTGATCATTTTGTTTTCTATGTACAAATATTCTTTGATTTACTGGTGAGTTCAACGCGTTCAATTCATTTTCTAAACGTTGTGAAAGTCCAGGAAATAATGTACTACCACCACTTAATACAATGTTTGAATATAATGTTGGATGTAAATCAGCTGAACATTTTTGAATAGATTCATTAACGATATTTTGTAGTCCAGTTGTACCACTTAAACCTGCTTGTCTTGGATAAAATAATAATTCAGGTGCCATAAATCTTTCCTTAGTCAAACTTATAATATGACCATCTGGTGTTTGATGTACATTTTGTGCACTTGAAGTGGAATTGATTTGTTTTCTTTCATCATCTGGATTCAATGAAATAAAACAAATTTTTTCTTTTAAAAGCCGTGCAAAATCACGTGAGATAGATGTGGCTGCAACAGGATGTTCTTTCGCTAGCATATATCGGAATAATTCAGTTATATGAGATCCACCGAGATTTTGACGCCTTAAAGCATTCGGTATATAAATTGTATTATTGACCGGTGTAATATTAGACATTTCTGTACCAACATCAACAACCAAACCGGATGTTAGCCCATACGCGTACAGAGCAAGTGCAGATTGATCTGTGAAGAATAAACCAGGCATATGAAATTTCTCAAAAACCATTTCTGCTAATTTTTCTCTGTTGAATTTAGGCAATAAAGGATATTCACTTATAAGAACTGGATGATTTTCCGGATTTGTACGTAGTTCCTTCATGAACATATAATACCAAACTAATGATAACCCGTCAATATCCGTTACAATTCCATTAGCAATAGGGCAATTAAGAATCAGTTCATTTCGAAGAACATTTGCATGTTCACCAACAAACCAGTCTGTATATTTTGAACATTTTGTTGGTCTACCTATTAACATTGGAATAAGAATTCTTGGTCCACCATCTCCAGCATAACCAGCTTTTAAATGTCCAGCTCCGTTATCCACAACTATTGGCCAATCTTCTATTAATGCCATGTCTTTTATCTAAATAAGTAATAGTAACAAACAATTTGATTACTTCACTGTAATTTATGAAAATTAAATTAAGTAGAATAAGATTTACCAAGTAACTGTAATATAATAGCTAATCAACAACTTATCATAATAATAATCATTTTATTCATAATTAATTTTCACTTCAATATAACCTTGAATAAACTTAACATGTGATCAATATTATTTACTCATTCATAGCTTATGATTGGCTATTTCATTTTACCTGATGGCAACACTTTCAAATGTGAGTTAAATATTGAACTTAAGTTTGTTTTGTTTTTGTTTTTATTTATCTGGTAAAACTGAAATCTACTAATCACTGGATGGATACACAAGTATCATTTTCAATTTAGTTTCATGTTCTATCTATCTAAATATTTATGAGTAATCAATCGTTTTTTCAACACTTTTTATCATTCGATTAAAGCATACATATTACTATTATTATTATTATTATTATTATTATTATTATTATTATTACTCAAGGTTACATAGATATAGTAATAATAAAGTGAGTGGATACTTAAATTCATAATCAAAAATATAAAAATAAACGAACAGTAAGTAAATCAATAATTGATCTGATCACTACAATCACTACACTTTAGAAGGTTACAAAATTCTTAATTACTTCTTCAAGTATTTTCTCCTAATTTAACCATGAAAATAATTTGAAATAATAATGTTAATAATCATGAATGTACATAGTAATAAGGTATTGGTATGCAATGTAATACAATCATAAATAATATGATTGACAACTAACAAACCTTTAGATTCATACAATAGACAAAATATTGATGATATTTGCACAATGAATTATTGTTTCATTCAAAAAGAATCTCATTCTAAGGGGCTGTAATATTGATTATATTGCATATAATCTATGTTCAAATTACTCACTATGTGTGTGTATATTATATTGGTTGTTCTGTTATGTCGACATTGTTAGAAATACAAAGATAAGAATCAACACATATGAATTGTGTCATTTAATCACACGTACACTCAAATATACACACACAAAAAATCTATTATGAATGATCGGTAAATTAGAAATGCTTCATTTTATAACTTGCTGACATATAATAATAAATAATGTTCACTAAACAATAAATTTAAACAGAAAGATAATACCTAGACAGAGCCGCATACATATTTCCTTAGCTTTAAACCTATACAGTACAAAAGAAACCTGATCAGAACTCTGAGTTACCGAATACGTACTATTTGTTCTATAGATATAGTGGAAGAAGAGGAAAACAGATACCCTGGAAAGTTCGTAAACAGTTATATGATAAAGAAGGCTAGAGTAGATGAAATACAAGCAGTGAATAAGAAATCCCTGTTCATGAGGGGATGTTGCTAGCGAAATATCAAGTTAGAGATTACGCAGAACAATCCAAAGATCATTCAACGGCTGAGTACTACGATTAGTGTTTACTACTCACCCAATCGTGAAACCGAGGCTAAAAGATGAATTAGCTAGGATGACTAACTCATTTTGTATTTATCAGTTCAACTGCTCCTGTGCAACAACTTATATTCGTTGAAGCTCTAAGGATTTACATTTTCGTGCGCAGGAACACCTCCCAAAGTGACTAAACAAAGATTTATTGAAGAAAATGAACAGTTCGATATTGACGTATTTAGTGCAAGCTTGTCATAGTGCCAGTATAAGCCAATCCTTTTCAATTACTTATCGGATCAGTAAATTTTCCCCAGAGCTTGTCAGACTTAAAGTCCATCAAACGGCTGGAGCATTAGAGATTTGGATGAATAAACCGCAGCTATACGTACAAAAGAAATATCTTTAACCGTTTTTCCTCCCCTGGCCAAACTCAAGACCAACTGCATCACGAGGCAAGCCCTAATTCGGAATCATGAAGGGAAACGGAAGAGAAGGCCAAAGAATAAACTGAGTCGGGAATTGAAATCAGACATGAAAAGGATGACTAGCAACTGGGAAGGATTGCCCAGAACAGGGTAGGATGGAGAATGCTGGTGGGTGGCCTATGCCCCTCGGAGAGGGGCAACAGGCGTAAATAAGTATATCGAGCCATTTAATTTGGTTGTTAAGTTGATTATGATTATTCAAATAACACTGGCCAACGACATTACTGTTTACAAATTGGTTATCTATTCGTGTAAACACCGTTATTCATTTTGTTGGAGTGTTGTTCTCTGTGCTGGATGATTTCGTCATGGGGCTTTCATCGTTCCTCTGAACGACATCATCAGCACAATATTACCAATTATCCAATAAAAAACATGTTTATATTGAAGTATTTGAATGTGTGTATTGTCACTCATAGTTTTGTAGTGTCATCATAACCTAACAAACATAATCATAATATTTATTGAAAATAGAACGTTGAATAATTATATTTAAGATATGGAAAAATACTTAAATTAAATTTTTGATAGAAATCCCAAAATAATCACTGGATTGCTAAATAAACTTCAAATGTCATTGATATGTATACATTTGTGTACCCTGTATAGTCTTAAGTTGTATGAATTTATCATTGTATGGTGTAAAAGATTTCCATCGTTCAAATAAAAGATAACAGCTAAATGACATTTTGTTGCCAATCGTCACTTCATAGTTATAATTACATCATATAAAATATCATTTTTAGCAAGGCATTTATGTTATAATTTACCTTGTCCATTTAGTCCAAATAATCAGAATTATAAAAACAATTCGGTTGACTGTCCTGCAAATCAGGTGACTGATATCTTGTGATGGAAAACTAATATTGTTTATAGAATATAGATTAGTCCTAAATAATCAACATAGAAATATATAAACTTTTTTTCAAAAAAACTCTCAATCTGTAGCATTTTGAAAAAAATAAGACCAGATTATCTGTGTTTACAGTGTTACAAAGAAGAAAGATTTGCAGTTGGTCAGTAGTTCTGAGTAAAAAGCAATCTAACAATGTTCCAATGTCTACCGTTAATTAGTCAACAAATTCGATGTCTTTTTCCATCAAATGTTTGTTCAATAGTTTAGGAGAAAACAAATTCCTCATAACCACATCTTAAATATAAAAACAATTCTCTTATCCTCAATTATTTACTTTACCTATAGGTCATAAATTAAAAGAAATTCTAAATGTTTCTGAATCAATAAATGACGAATAGAACAAAGACGTTTCTTTTGAATATATTTATATAGTACTAATCGGGTAGTGGTGTAACATAATAGTTAAAGGATATCAAAATGATTATTAAACATAATACTGAATTACTAACTCAGTAAATCGAAAGAGGAGGAGTGTGACAAATATAAAGTAAATATTTATAAAAACTGAAACAAACTAGACAACATAATATTTATTAAGGGAGAATTAACAAAATATTTCATAATAGTCGTGTAATAATCAAGAGACGGATGTTGAAAAATGTAAGAATACAAAGATAGAAGAAAATAGAAAATCGTGTGAATATTTTTCAAAAGTATAAGGTTATTCAAAGTTCAGTCGAAATAAACCCCTTTGTCTATGAAGAATGTGTAATAGATTTAGGATTATCTGAACGTGCTTTTTTTTGTATTTACAGGCTGACTTCACCTAGTAGACCGTTGAAAATAATGGAGGAGTAGACATTAGTAGTTTCGAATCTTCATAAGAAAGAGAATGACTTTAACTAAGCACAATTCGAAATGACCACGACAGAATTTAACGACTGAGTTTGAATCTAATCCCATATTTTCAACGTCCGTCTAAGTACATTTTATCCTGTTTTCAAGTACCTTAGAAACAGGTAACCCCAATTTTTCTCACAACATTTTGAATTAAATAATGGCCTAATGTCTTCGATTATATTCAGTAGATGCATCATTTACGTCTTTCTACATTTCCTTCTCAATATTAATGAACACTCAATCTCCACGTTAGTAGTTGAAGTAACAAATTTGCTGTAAGAAACGTTTAACTACTCAAATCATATAAAAGTAGCTTAAGTAAGTTGTTAGAATTTTTAAGGATGCAAAAAATATTTGTACTGATAGTTATTTATTATGAATAAATCGGAATAAAATCATTAGTATTTTTTTGAAAAAATTAGGTGTGCTAAAACAACATCAAATCAAGAATTTTATGCTTAGTGTTTAAAACATTAAATATGGATTTAACAATTCAGACCAACCGAATAAGTTAATCAAATAAGATAGTAAGCAATGATAATTAATTTATAGGTAGTTAATTCCAATGTTTGACTATCTTTATGATAATGAGCGTATAATGAACGGGACAATAAACTGGATGAAAATTCAATGTCTGCATATAACTAGGCACACATAGTCATACCAATGACTAAAAAGTTAGCTTCTTATGGTCCGTCACTTTCGTACTTCAGTCTTCTTTTATAAGTCTTAAATGATACAGACTTAGTGTGGTCTCTACTTATTCACATTTTTTGAATGCCTTTAGAATTACTTTTTCAACAAAAAGTTCTCAGAATCCCTTTTAATATGTTGGAATTATGAAAAACTAAGAATCCTCTTGAAAATATAGCCATTAAGTATCTAGTAATGTTCAAAAATTGATATCGAATGTAAAAAGGTGCGACTATAGTAACGCCATATCCTAGTGTACAGCATTTTATATTTTACAGTAGCAGATTATGAGTTTGATTTTCAGAGAAAATGAAAGCATACTGATATGTAGGTTCACCCATCGATAAGTTCTTAACAGATCAAAACGCATGATCTGAGTAAAAACACGAGTCGTAACTAGAGAAACTGTTCTCTCTTTGTTGAAGTTATTGATAGTTATTCTGAAATCAAAGTTTTCATCCATCAAGTATTTACTAACAACGCTTTGTTTAATTGTTCCATATCATTAACACGTCAAAACTCTTTCTACTGAACTATTAGTAGTCTTTTCTTTTTCAGTAATATTACCATTTATAAATTTACATTTCTGAATACTTGGGTGATTCGTTCTCATGTCAACCAGCTCCGTCGCCAG